TGCTCCCCCTTCATCTAGTCAGAAGCTCCAGGGCCTCCTGTGACATTTGACACCAGCTGTCACCCAGAGCATCCTCTGCTGCCCTGCTCCTTTCCTCCCTCTCCCATTGGCCCTCCTGCCCTTTGAGCCTCCCATTGTGCTCTGGCCTCAGAGGCCTTGCACTTGTACCTCTCCTACTGGGAGCGCTTCTGGGTGTCCCTTCAGCACTCCTCACTTCCTTTAATCTGCTCAGACATCTCCTTCAAAGTGGCCTCCTCCACGTCCCCGTTCTGCCAGCATTCATTCCATGCTGTGTTTCCCGTGGGCGTACCACCGCTCCACACTGGATTCCATGCAGTAGGGAAGGAAGGAGTAGGCTTTGACGGTAACGTTCACTACCGGATTTTAGTCCCTACAGGGCACAAACTTAACCCTGGGGGAGTTTAGGGTTTTCACTAATTTGTTGAGTGATGATAAAAGAAATTGCACACTTCTGTAGATAGGTTTCACTGTCATTGATGCGCTGTTTTCAGCCTCAGTCGAGCCCGCAGTGTCTCGGCATTTCTCTTTGGTTTTAGTGATTCTTGTCTTTTGGCCTCCAAACACTGAATTATTTCATGCGGACGGTCTATCCCACACGCAGGTCCAGGTCAGTGGCTTAAATGAAACTCACCTCTTCTGTCTGTTCCTCAACCTGACTCCCTCCTTGTGACTTGTCACTGTCCGCTCAATGTCCACGCCTGCATCCCAAGAGTCGTCCTCAGCTTTTCCTTTTTTCCTTTCTTTAGCATTCATGCTGCCTTCTCGTTATCCCAAGGGGTCTGCTGCCGTCTTTTACCTGGGACTGGTGCTGTAGTTTTTAAATTGATTCCTTGCTGTTTCCTTTATGCAGCCAGGATAAATTCTCAAAAATATGGATCTGTTTATGTCAGTGCTTTGCTTTAACTCTGGGGTGACATCACGCTGATTTTCATGGATTTTCCTCCATGATTAAAAATCAGCGTGGTTTTTCAGGCTTTTCATGATCTGACACCTGCCTTTCTCCCTAGCCTTACCTCCCACCACTTCATAGCTATATTGAACATTTTTAGGTTTTAAATGAGCGTTTCCCCCCCCCCCAGTATGTGGCCACATATGCTTCCTCTTTTAGTACCCTTTACCCTGTTTCATCCCAGAATATTAGTTATCTTTGCAATTTATTTATAGCATTTATTTTAGAACTAGTTATGCTTTATTCTAATTGCTTATTTTATTGTCTTTCCTTTGATATATTTTTGATTTCAATTTCAGTAGACCTGCAAATATTTGTTGACTTAATGAATGCTTATTAAATTGGTAATCCAGGGGAATATAAACAAGTGTTATTCAATATCCATTTCTTTGTATTTGAAATGGTGTGGATTAAAATTCTTTAAAGATTTATATTTTAATGATTTATCTTTTTTATTTCTTACAAGCTTTTTTAAACCAAAAATAATTTAAGGTAAAGAAAAAAATAGATGTAGGCTATTACATTGACATTGGGAGTGGATATTATACTTATTTGTGTGTAAAATATAAGCACTGATCTTATGCACTTGTTAGAGGTGGCTATGACTCTTTGAAGGACACCACGGCAGAGACTGCTAATTGTCCCCCATATTTCTTCTTCTCTTCATTGTAATAATAAAATACCCAAGTGTTTTGCTGGGCAAATGTCTACTCTGAATAAAGATAAGAATTTCTGGCCTGTCTTGAAGGTAGATATGGTTAAGTGATTATGTTCTGCGCAGTTGGATGTTAAGTGAAAGTGCTAGATGCAATGTGTGAACTTAACAGGTGGAGCTGAAGAAGCTGTCTTAGAGCGCAGAGTGACTGCAGGCTAGTATACCAACAAGACAGAAGGAAACTGAGCCCCTGATGCACCACGGAGCACCAGCCAGCCTTGGACACTGCCTTGGATTTTTGCTTGAGAGAGAAATAAACATCTGTATTGCTTAAGCCATTGTTGTTTTGGATTTTAGGCACTTGCAGCTGAACCTGTACAGCTACCAAAACTCCTTTGACAAATGGATCATATACCCTTCTGGGAATTCTTTCCTACTTTCCTGCTGGGAGATGTAACTCACCAGATTAATATGAGTAATAAAGGCTGGCCAACAAACTTGTCTTTTGGTTTTACATCATCCTTGGATTTGGGAATGTATACTATAGAAAGGAAATAAAAGTAAATAAGAGAAAGTACATAGAGTAAAAAAAAAAAAAAACTTGTGTAGAAGGAAGGTCCTACAAAGTAAAGAATTAAAAGCAAGCTATCCCTCTTTAAGTCACTTGACACGTCAACTGGATCCAGAGATGAAATTTGATGTATGCATCTATTTATTTTAAAATTACACCAACAATCTGCTAATTGAGCAGTACACAGACTTTAAAAGTCATCTTTGTCCCTCTTCCCAAAATCAGATAAACACATGATCTTGGGAAGAAACCTAAACATGGTTACAGTAACCTACTTCTTCAGTAGATTCTCTTTTGTAAATCTTAGCAGGGCTGAAGATAGTTGGTAAGTGAAGGGAAATTTTTTTTTTTTTAAAGAGAATTTTTTTTTTAATATTTTTTAATTTTCGGTGGACACAACATCTTTGTATGTGGTGCTGAGGATCGAACCCAGGCCGCATGCATGCCAGGCGAGCGCGCTACCGCTTGAGCCACATCCCCAGCCCCGTGAAGGGAACTTTTTAAAAAGTATTTTAATATAAATACAGCAAATGATCACTATAAAATGGGTTTAAAATATATTTTCTTAACACTTTGACAACATGCACTGTTTTAAAAAAATTGATACCCTGTGACCTAGACATTCTGTTTCTAGAAATCTTCATAGGGATAGATGAGAGGGCAATTGTTATGTTTCATTTAGATATATAAGTTTGTGGCTCAGCGGTAGAGCGCTCGCCTAGCATGGGTGGGATGGGTTCGATCCTCAGCACCACATAAAAATAAAGGCATTGTGTTGTGTCCATCTACACCTAATAAAATAAATATTTTTTAAAAAAATAAGTTTACATGCAAAATAAGATTAGTAAATTTTGGCAGAACCTCAATATTATCAGCCATAAAAATAGTGCCTTGTAAAATTATTTAGTAATAAGTCCAAATGTGTTATAGAGGTATAAATATGAAAGATTAAAATAGTAAAATACCTCAGATTCAAGTAAGATCTTGCAGTTATACAAAATCTATAAAATAAAAAAATTTACAATATTTTCAGCATAACAAAAAGAACAAAAACTTTTGCGTGGGGAATTTTAAAAGCGCCATAGTCAAATTTCAGATAAATGAAAAATTATTTACAGCTTAATTATAGGCAAAAAGTCTAGTTCTCTATTACGTAAAATGTTACAGAAATCATAAAGAAAACCTGGTAGGAAAAAAAAAATCAACCAAAAATATGCACAAATAGGTCCCAGGAAAGGACATACATATGACTTAAAAATGAAAATTTCAACCTCATATAAGACAAATATATACTAAGCCTACACCAGAATTCTATGCCATTTAGAAATGTGTTTTATAAAGATACACATAAAATGTATTTTCAGCATTTTTGTCACAAGAAAAATTTAAATCAACTTAGTGTTTATCAGAAGGGAATGTGTCAAAATACTATGGCACACTCCTATAATGGAACGTTAAGCAGCTGCAAAGAGAGTGAGGGAGCCTTTGTGTTTGACAGAGGACCTCCAAGACACATTGTTAAATGGAGAAAGCTAGCTCAGACCACACATAGTAGAGTGTGTGGGGGAGGGGATGTATAGCCCTTTTTCAACCTTATTTGTTGGCAAGAGTATATATAGTCTTATAAAAAGCATCCATGTTTGTAAAAACACATACTCTTAATGTGTTTGTATGCATTCTAGGAATTAGGTGGGTCAGGGACAGTTGTAGCTGCTTTTGTGCAGATTTATTTGGAAAAGGGTGTTGCATCCTCAGCAACTTCTGCTTCTGTCTCAAAGTATTCTGATATGCTGATTTTGTTAATGCAAGTCCCTTGGCAGCCACCCAGCAGAAAATTATAAATCAGTAAGTCCCAAATTTTCAGTTCTGGAAATAGTTCAACAAAATTGATGTGAGTACATTAAAATGGATGGAAATCGTAATCTAGGACTTACATTAATAATGTTATAAGTGTTATGCACTAATTCTTAGTAGTATGTACTTAGTAGTATGTGTGTATAAATTTATGTTAAGTAGTTACGTGTAATATACTAAAGCTTTTAGAGGTGTTCCACATCTGGGACAACAGAACAAAATGGGTTAATAAAAGTAGGTAGTGTTGAAGAATTTCTTTTTTGAAAATTCAAGACTAAACTTTTTGTTTAAGTTTTTTTCTCTAGGAAATTTAACCTTCAGTCCATTAGTGATTTTCTCGTAATAATTTCTAATAATAGTAATAAGAAAATTTATGATTTTTAAAATAACTAATAGTAAAATAATAGTTTAGTGTTGAAAGTGTTTGATTTTATTAAAATCATCTTCTGGGTTTGTTTAGGTAAAACTTTTATGACTCTAATTAGAGTGATGTAACATGGGTATAGTTCTTGATATTTTAATTTACAGTCATGTGATTATAAAATAATTATTAGAAATAGTGAAAAATAAAATGTGAAACTAAACATTAAATATCATTCTTTTGTTAAAATATATGCATGTAGTTATTTATATCTGTATGTATACTATTCATTTATATGTATATGCCATGTGTTTATATGTGGAAATTTTTAGTAAAATAATGTCTATATGTTCATATGCAGATTTGTATTCATGTGTATATGTCTTAGGAAAAAAGGATTAGAAGGAATTAGATAATAATATAATGTCTTTTTCATAGGTAGGATTTCAAATGATTTTAGGACTTTATATGCCCCACTTTTTACATTGATTATATATTTATTATAAGTATCTCAATGTTTCTTGAAGAATTTATACTGAAGCTTCTTTTCTCTCTCTCTCTCTCTCTCTCTCTCTCTCTCCATGAAAAGAGTTTTTCAGCTTATATCTTTAATGGATACTGGATTGCCTCACTGTTCCAATGAGAAAATAGAGCTTGCAGTTTTATGGTTCTTGGATCAGTTTCGTAAAACATATGTTGGTGATCAGCTTCAAAGAACCTCAAAGGTAGGTTTTCACTACTAGAGATTTTTAAAATGTTATTGGAGGTGAAGAAATACGCACATGTATAACAGCTGTGAACTGAATGAAATTTAATTGGTAACTTGAACTTATTTGATGAATTGGTATTGAAATGCAATGTGAAATTAATTTGTTTTATACCTAGATTTAACATTTTCTTTGGAGATTGGCTTTCAGAGAAGTGGTAAATATTTTTTTACATGGCTAATCACTGTTAGCTAGGATTGTTTTAGACACTTTAATGGATTTTTGCCTTTTGTATTTCAAGATTGGGAATAAAATTTGCTCTTCAGTAATTTGGGTTTTGGTTTTTTTTTGACACTTATTAATGTGGTTTTTAATATATTCCACTCATTCCTTGACATTTTTATGTGATAAATAGTGATGATTAGGAGAATTTATGGACTTGAAAGGCTACAGTTAAGTCATGTAAATGTGGGGAGGACTGTAATATGATAATTTAAAGTTTAGCATCAGCAAATGTACACAATTTGATCGTGAGGCACATGAGAGATTATTGAGGACTTCTACTTGAGCCCTAAGTATATACTTATGAATACACTTGCCCCTCTATATTCACAGATGCTGTATCCACAGATTCAGCCAACTATAGATGGAAAACATTATTTTAAAAATTGCATTTGTATTGAACACTGATCATGTACAGACTTTTTCCTTGTAACTTTTTCCTTGTACAGTGTAACAACTATTTACCCAGCATCGACATTTTGTTAGGGATTTTAAGTCATCTAGAAATGGTTCATAGTACAAAAGGGATGTGTATAGGTTATATGCAAATACTATACTATTTTATGTATGGGACGTAATTAAGTATCTGAGGATTTGGGTAGCTGGAGGAGGAGATCCTGGAACCACTCTCCCCCAAATACTGAGAGACAACTGTTATTAGGACCCAAGTAAGATCTGTAAGGGTTTTTGTTTTTGTTTTTTTAAATTCCTACTTTTAAGAAGTTCTAAGTATATTCTTATGTCATTTGGATAAGATTTTAGATAAGGTTGTAGTGATGTTGAAGGATTTTTTTTTTTTTTTAATTTGAAAATCCTGAAATAAGCTTTATACACTCATTTGGGCTTTTTTGTCCTAGGAAATTTAACCTTCAGTTTACTTGGGATTTTCTGATAATTGTATGGTAGGATGTCAAAAATACTTATTTGATTTTGAATCATCTTTTAGGTAAAATTTTCAGGTAAAATTTTCTTTGCTTTGCTTTGTAAGGAAATGATAATAGCTTAATGCTTCCTTAGTCAAATATATTGTGATATTTTATTCACTCAGAAGTAATATCAGTAAAATTTTCTTAGAATTTTTTCATTAGAAAGAAAATGGAGTAGGTAGAAATAAATGATTTAAGTTGTCAGTGAGACACCAACTCTCACATGTGTTACTCAAAGGTTGATCTGTCACATTATAATATTGTCTTATTTAATGCCCCCAAAGAGTTTGTTACTTTGCTTTTTCAAAAGTGAATACTCCTGAAACATTTGTAATCCAGTATTCATTTGACTTGGGTTTTTAAATCAGAACAGTATAATGTGGAATTGAAAAGCCTTCTAATTATTATCTTTAAATTACTTAGAAAGAAATATATAAAATTAGACATTGTTTTAGAGCAATGAAATTTGGAATTTTTCCCCTAGAATTTTTATTTGAAATAATATACATACATGTGGAGATTTGTGTATGTGTGTGTGTATGCATATATATAACTTTAATAATTGTAATTGTTAAATTATTAATTGTGAAAAAGTGAATTGTAATTAGTTTCTCTTTTTGTGAAAAAGGCTTATATATTAGGAAAGTAAAAACATCCTCAGGGTGGTGTTGATTCCTGTAACATTTTTGGTGTGTGTATCTTGCCCTGCTAATTAGAGGAGTTCAGTCCTAAGGTGACTTTATTTCTAGGGCATTCCTATTAACCCCAAAGTGAAGCTAACTTCACACTCTTCATTTCTCTAATCCGTTTGATGATTTTCTTAACAGGAATCATTTTTGTGGGTTCCTGACATTTGCCCTGTTACTTCTGGGAGCTCTCCACACTCTTTGTTCCTTAAAACAGGTGTCACAGTTTTTACTGTTCCTGTCTTACTAATCAAAGAATATACTCAATAAGTATTGTATGATCAGCCCTCCATTTCCACAGGTTCCGCATCCAGGGATTCAACCAATTTGTGTATCAGAAATACTCAAAACCGAAAATTACACTTGTACTGAATATGACAGACTTTTTTTCTTGTTATTATTCCCTAAATAATACAGGATGACAACTGTTTTCCCAGCACTTTAATTGTACTAGGTATTATAAGAAATCTAGAAATGATTTAAATTATGTGAGAGGATGTGCATAGGTTGTTTGCAAATACCGTTCCATTTTATATAAGGGACTTGAACATCTGTGAACTTTGGTTTCTATGGGGAATTTTGGAACCATAGATACCCAGGAGAACTGTCCTGTTTCTGGCAACTGACTAAGGAAGGCTAGCTCATTTCTTAGTGGGTATATTGTCTAATTCCAAATCATGGCCAAGAGGAGGATGGTATTGGTTAACAGTGATATTTAACAATTAGAGCAAAAAAAATTTTTTGGACCAGGAACTCTGCCAAGCATTTTAAAGCAATATCTCATTTAATTTATTACACAGAATATGACTTACAAGGCTATTCTGCACATTTCAGCCACTTCCTGCTTTAATACTTAGGCACTCTATTTCTGAGATATTAGAACAAAATATTCCCTCTGCCTGGGAAATGTTTTTAAAAATCAAATTTTACCTCTCTGCCGTCTTGTGTTAATTCCTATTTATCTTTCATGTCAGATACCTTATCCTTTAGAATGCCCTTCTTAACTCTCAGATTCTGAGAGAAATCCTTTTGGCTTTGTTCTGTAGCACCTGTATACCCCCATTTTAGCATTTATTATGCTAAGTATTTGTTAGCAGAACATGTATGGAATGTGATTTTGATTAATGTGGTTTCTCTCTTGTTTATTGTTCTCATCCCCAAGGGCCTGGCATATGACTTGTATGCTTTCTACTAATATGAATGGTCATATTTAGTAGAATTGTATAGGAACTGGGCTTAGAACTCATGTTTAGTACTTTCAGGATTTATTCTTGAGTTGGAAAATGATGCACAATCCTCAGTAAAATGATTCAGCAATTTAAAATAAGGTATGATATTAAGTATCTTAATACTTTTATTAAAAACCTCTGTAAATAACAGAATATAATTTATATAAATAAATGCTTCAGAGACCGGGCGGAATTACTGAAGATTCCTGTGATAAATATGATAGAAGTACATTCTAGAAAAAGTATTTGCTGTAGATGTTTATTGAATGGCTAGTCTAGGCCAAATACTTTGCTTAGAAATTTACAATTGTTATCTAATTTCACTCTTAAAAAACACTGTGGAAAGGGACTGGAGTCGTGGCTCAGTGATAGAGTGCTTGCCTGGCATGTGTGAGACCCTGGGTTCAATCCTCAGCACCACATATAAATAAATGAAAGATCCATTGACAACTAAAAAAAATATTTTTAAAAAATACCGTGGAAATAGTCTTTACCACACTCTCTTTCTATAGACAGGGAAACTGAGGCTTGGAGCCGTTTAAAACTGGCTTAAACAGGGTTTAAAAAAGGACACTGACTCAGAACCTGTGGCTGTTAACAACTTTGCTATGTTGCTTCCTATTGAATTTTCTCCCTGGGACAGAGACTGTGCCCTTCAAACCCAGCAGGTCCACAAAGGAACTCCTTGTCTAATGACTTCCTCTCCTCCTACTTTCTTATTTCATCCCCAGATTTCTACTTTGCACATCTTGAATACCTCATCCTGCTGATTTTATTTTCTAATTACCTCTCAGATTCACTCCTTTCTCTTCCTCCTTCCTTTTTATTATAATTGCTTATCATTTCTCACTGGATTTAAAAAGTATTCTAATTGTCTTCTTTGTTTCCATTTTGTATCCTCCTACTTCTGTCCATTTCCCACACTACTACCATAGTAACCTTTTTTCATTAGTAAATAAGATAAAATAATGGTAATGAACACTTATATGCCCTCATATGTAGATAACCTTTGTCAAATCTTAATGCTTTGCTATATTTCAGATCTGTGCATTTGGAAGTGGGGACTGGGGATTAAATTCAGGGGCACTTGACCACTGAGATAGGGTCTCACTGAGTTGCTTAGTGTCTCACTTTTTGGCTCAGGCTGGCTTTGAACTCATGATCCTCCTTTTTCAGCCTCCCAAGCTCCTGGGATTACGGGTGTGTGCCACCATGCCCATGCCCAGCCAGATCTGTGTATTTTTGAATTAAACATTAATGACCCTATTGCTGCTCTGGTTGTTTTGCTTGTATATTGCCCAAAAGTAATAGCTATCCTAAATTTAGTGTTGTTCTCATCTATGATTTGTTCTTTTTCCACATTTTCGGTATTTTTATGAATAAAATATACTGTTAACTTTATGTAAAAGTATTGTGCAGTTTGGATCTTTAGAAACTTGCCTTTTTTGATCAATATTGGTTTTGAGATTTGTCTACAATGATACTATGGAATTAGTTTATTTTAATTATTGAGTGGTATTACAGGGCATTATTATGCCATTATGTGGTCATTTTGTGTGTGTGGTGATATTTGTTGGCTTATTGCCAATTCTTTGAATTTCCCAAACTGTACCCAGTGAACCTTCTTCTATTTGGCTCCTCATGCATGTGCAAGAGTTTTGTAATGATGACAGTGGATTGCAAGGCTGCAGACCACATACTATCATTTGTTTCTGGTCAGAGTACAAATTTTGGAAAACTATTTGATTATAACTATGAAAGCTGAACATACAGCCTACCTCATGACATCAGTTCTCCTCTTAAATGTTTACCTACAACAAATAGGAAATATGTCTACCAAATGCAAGAGTGTTCATAGCAGCTTCTTTATAGTATTCAACAATCAGAAACAACCC